TCTTATCTTATAGGAGGGAATTCGGAAAAGTCAATAACTGAATACACTCAGCAGGTTTTCCTTAGATAGAAAATGTTTTGCCAATGGGTCTGTATTATCTGAATTAACTGCCTCTTTAAAATGCCTTAAGACATGTTGACATGTTTTAAATGGCTGTTATATACAGTAGATGAAGAGAAGTCAATTAAATTGAAAAGTATAGGTCATGAATCCGAACTTGGACTTGAAGTATGATTATTATCTTTAGATACTTTTCATTTGAAAATATAATTCTGAATAATTTGTATTTTTTAAGAGAAATTTATATGGCTGCTGTGAGAAACACAAACATTTACACAAGCACCTTCAAAATTAAATATTTATATCTTATAGCAAAGCTTTTTTTTGTAGATTTGGTCTGTCTGAGAAAGTAAACCGAAAAGGAATTAATCTCAGCTCATTCATCAGAGGCGCAATAAAAGGCCCTCTGCACACAAACCCTGTGAGTGGTTCTTAATGACTGCAGCTGACTTTTTACTAGTGTAGAGGTTCCTTAACATGTTAGCCTGTAAACCCCAAAAGAAGCAGCCAAACAGACTGCTGACCCAAAAAACAAAAAAACAAATACAATCACTTCTAACTAAAACTATTTATACATATAACATGAATTAATATATCCATTTTAAATGAATTTACTTGTTCATTACATTTAATTATTTACATTCATTATTTTGAACATATTTCTAATTATTTAATGGGAAATTGCATTGTTTAATTGTGCATTTTGTTATCTAACGGTGTGTACACTGTTTAAATCACGCATTACAAAAATCAATAAAAAAATTGATGCATCTGTTCATTCCTCTAAAGTCCTGCTATGGACTGGGGGCCCTTTTAAGGGTGCAACAACCTGAGCTGAGTTTAGCTTTAGTTTCAGGGGATATCAGGGGTCAACCACTGGACAGTCCAAATAGAGATGAAGAGAGAGAGAGCAGGCAGGGTGGATGTGATGGAGATAAGAGTAAGAAGTGTTTGACAAGGATAGATCCAAGACCGAAGTGTAGAGGGTACGAAACTGTAATGAAACCTATTGTGGTTTATTGCTGGGAGACATTAGCAGCTTCTGAAAGACGCAAAACTGAGTTGGACGTCCCAAAGGTGAAGCTGCTGCGATTTTAAATCAAAGCCCAGGATTGAAAAGATTAGAAGTGGTCAACCAGAGGAACAGCTAAGGTTGAACAGTTTGGAGATCAGGTTGGAGTAGCAAGGCTGAAATGGTTTAGACCGTGAAGGAATAATGGAGATGGTTGGTGTGACTGTTAAGAACACAAAGGTTTGAAGGGGATGGACACAGATAATCTACTTTACTGACCCTTAAGAAGAGCTGAGAAAAGGAGACAATGTATGAACAGATGGTGAATCCTGTAAAACAAAGCTGTGGTAAGTGCTGACATAAGACAATACTGCCCTCTACAGGAGGAACACTGAAAATGTGCCTTATGTTGTCCACAATACATGCTGTCTTTGGTTCAGGTTTTTCCCCACATGATTAGGTGAACACATTATTTGATTTAAACTTTTTTTAAATATAGTAAAATCTGTAAATGTAGAAGCGGATTCTTCCGATTATGGCCACACAGTCACATACGTTACATAATTGGATTAAAATCATTATTTACAGATAAACTCTCAGGATCAGTAATAAAATTAATAAATAAAAGATATCAGTGGTAAAATACACAACCTGATTATTGTAGAATCATGGCCTAATTGTGTGAGATATGTTCAGGGCAAAACACTGGAATTATAATCTTTCATCCGTCTTTATCCATTCTATTATTTTAAATTGCTAACTAGGTGAAAGTGGTTCAAACTGGGAGTTATTTCAGTTTTTACAAGTCTAATGGATGTTAAAAAAAAAGTGTTAGCCACCCCAAGCTTTCTGCAGATTTTTCTCCTTTTACATGTTATATTTCAGGTCATTAATGAATTAGTAAACGCAGGCAAAGCTAATTTGAGAAGACACAAAATGCATTCTCTAAATTACCATTTCATCTAATAGGAAAAAATAGTTGTTGAAAACAACAAATCTAATAAGCGGTTGAGAGGAAATTAGTCATTAGGGGCAGCAATAACTGTAAGGCAGCCCCAGGCCATTACATTAATAATCTACCACAGCACTGTTAGTTTTAAAGAGGATGTAAGGAGAGTTAGAGCCTCCAAAGATCCTTGTGAAGTCTTGGTGATCATCACGATGCTTTATTAGGGACTCTTGGCCCTTTTGTTAATTTTGATCAGCAGTTCTGTCCTTGAACTCTTTAGTTGAGGCCATTTTTCCCTCGTTCCACTGTTATTCTTGAATTATAAACCAGTTTTAGTTGATTTCTCAGAAATATTTAAGCAAAATGTATATCCTAGTGGTTAGAGCAGTGTGCTTGTGCTCTGAGAAGGTTGCAAGTACCCGGTTTGATTCCCACAGTCTCCACTCTGGGTTCCTGAGCAAAGACCCTTAACCTCACACTGCTCCACAGTCGCAGCACAATAGTAGCCCACTGCTCCCCAAGGGGATGGGTTCAATGCAGAGAATTAATTTCCCCATTGTGGAGCAATAAGGGGATTTACATTAGCAGTGTTTATTGTTTTAAAAGTAGTTTAATACACATTAAGAGGAATGTACAGGAAAAAAAAGTAACTACAGGTGATTTAGAGAGAGGCAAATTGTTGATGCTAACTACAGATTAATTAGTGATGTTAAGAGTCATTACTGATGTTAGGTATAAAATAATAGAAATCTTATGATCCACTCCTAAAGAATAGCATCGTCGATCATTAAGTACAGCATTGCTTTAACATATTATGTCAGGGAAGAATAATTAAAGAGTTTGATCAGAGGCTATGAATGAAGAGTGCCTTCCAAAATGAACCTGTACTTTTAAAGAAAATGTGATTTTTAGGGGGAAATGTAGAGGATGGTTTGTTCAAATAAACAGTCAAGCTGTAAACAAACGTATTTATTTCTTAACTTCAAACAGAACACGCAATATTACAAAATATTAAGTGCTGCAAGTTTTACCAAGGTCAAACAATCCAAAAAAACTTGAAAAAAAAAGGTATAAATACAAATTAATTTATGTACAAATACCTAAAAATAATGCTCATTGGAGAAAAAAATATTCTACACATTTTCAAATGACATTCTCTACTCTATATTTAAAATAAAAACCTCACACGCAAACAAACACACCATGACACCCATTTACCAAGCTGCCAAACACACAAGCACAGTTTTCAAGTTTCGTTAGGACAGGACTGGTAGCTTATCTCTGAGGTTTAGAGGAAAAGCCAAAAAATTCAACTTCACAATGAAATTCAAATGCTCAAATCTCCAGAACGCTTCCAAATAAAACGTTTAATAAAACTCCACCTCCACCACACCTGTACCACAGGTGCCTTATTTAGTTGATTTCAGATTATTTCGCTAGAAATAGTGATCTTGAACTTGGAAATCCAGGAATATTATATTACATCTGAAACTGGAGTCCGATTAGAGGGGGGGGATTAGAATCAAAGCTGCCAAACCATAGAGTCTGTGATTGCGTTTTCTATCATTAAACAGGACTTTGGGTCAATCAGCAGTTTTGGCACCAAACACAAAAGACTTGATTTTTAACATGCAGAGAAAATGAAAACTGATTGGAAAGAAACAGCATGAGCACCTTTAAAATCCGTCACAGTACGTCCAATATCCCTGCACAGATTTCCTACAGACATCTTTGTAAAGCCTGTGGAAGAGAGGCTGGACTGAATCACAGCTTTTGGTAATTTATGGGAAAAAGAAAAAGAAATCTGAATGTAAACACTCCTGTGAGTACAGCTTAACTTCTATCCAGTGATTAAATCCTGTAAAGCTGTACCAGAGTTAAAGCTGACAGTACAATACTGCCCCCTACAGGTCAAATCCTTTTAGGCTTTGAAGAAAGAAAAAAAAAACCCTGAGTTGCTCACATTGAACACTGCCTCATACTAGCGTATGTGTCATAAAATTCTCCACATGAAATGGTATGCACACTGAAGTTCCTCCTTCTCTGATATTTAATTGATTCTAATATTCTTAGCACACTAAAAATATTCCTAGATAACCCCCCATCATTCTAAATTTTCTCCATGTTTTTGAGTAGAATTACCTCTATGTTCCATCGTCGCCCCTTACAATACGTTCAAACGATTTACACTGTAAATCCAACAACCTTCTCTAAAGAAATAAAAATAAGCAATGGCTTCATAGTGTAATATTATTTTGCCCCGATCAGGCATTCATTTAAATATTTCCCAACCTCTTCTTTATTTTCAATCTCAGCTTTTCAATAAATCTCCGAGGTCGTAGGAGTCGAAGAAGTCCGACACCCCCTCGGTATCCTCCAGGCTCCAGAGGTAGTCGCTGTGGTCTAAAGGCGGAGAGAAGCAGACAAAGGGAGTGTTGGGGTCTGAGGTGAACGAGGTGCCCGGCAGCTGGTCCTCTGTGATCTGTAGCAGACTCGGAGGAAGACCCAGAAGCCCCTCGACGTCGAGCAGCGGGGGGGCCGAACTGGCAGCTGAGGCAGCGGCTGCAGCTGGAGTGGATATACTCACTGTGTGAAGGACAAAGACATACCTTACTGTATGATGAGCAAAACCTGCACATGAAACAAGTGAGAAAAAATAAACTACTCCAACTGCTTTTTTTAAATGAATTATAGGGTAACTATCCCACCTCTTCAGATGATCAAAGACCCCTCTGGAAAAAGCTGAAAATAAACCCTCAGTTCTATGCAGTTGTAAAATCTCACTTTAAATTAATATGAATGATAAGCCTTAGATTTAATTAAAGATGCAAATTATCTGTGTCAACGACTTTAAAGGATAAATTTTTCAACAGAGCAGCATTTAGTATTATTCATTAACTTTCTTCAAGGAGGAGCAACCAGAGATCAACAACTGTTCCTCTTAGCATAACCCTGGACTTCAGAGTCCTCTCATAAAGGTTGATTATGAGAGGATGGAAGGTGGATTTTGTGTCTGATAAACTATTTCTGTGCTGGTCTTGAATCATTATCTTCCCTAAAGACATAAGGGTGACCAATGTTTCAGTTTTATGGTAGTAAGTCTGCTTCTTGTTTAAAAGATCCTGGTATTTAACTGACTGACAAAGAAAAACTGTCAAAGAGAAAACCAAAGATAACATAAAATCCTGCTGAGTGTGCAGTGTAATCCAAAAATCACACAATGGACTTGGCACTTTAATGGTCACCATAAACAAGACCAATGATTCTTCCCCTTTCCTGTCTGCACATCTGCTTTTCCCTTCTCTCTACACATGTGCAGTAGGTAAAATGCACCTTAACACCAGAGTTCTTCGGTCAGTTCGAAAGGTCATAGCTACATTTTCTTCATCAAAATTTTTTATTTTTCCGAAAAAATGCATCCATAGAAACCCAGACCTACCTTCATCAGCTTCCTCTTTGACACTCTGGTTTGATTGTGTTAGTGGGGTGGTAACAGGTATTTCCATGTTTTCCTTTTTAGGGGTGACATCCCTCTTAACCGGACTGACATCTTCAAGCCCTTCTTCAGGACACAGGTACACTTCTATAGGCCCATTCCTACTCTTTAAATAGATCTGTAATGAGCCCTGCTGCAGAGAGGCAGATAGAAAACACAATAAATGCACTTTCACTATTTACAAAAATATGCAAAAACAGAACAGAGGGGATCAATAGAGGTTAGAGGTTTCTGCTATATTTTCACATGTTCTCACCCCAGCAGTGTCTGGCACCTCCAGCTTTGTCTCAGCAGGAGCTTTAACAGCGATGACCGTCTGGTCTCGGAGGCTGCTGATGGAGCGGATGTCCTGGTACGTCACATAGCCCAAAGTGCATCAAGGGATTAAGGATAACAGAGATGAAACATTTTCATGTGTGGCTGAATAAAATTCAATTCAATTAATTGTATTCATATAGCGCCAATTCACAGCATATGTCATCTGAAGTCACTTTACAGTTCACCAGATCATCCAGTCTAATTGATTCCAAGTTTTCTATCTAAGGAAAACCAGTTGATTGCATCGACTCATTGACTCAAATACAATCCCTCATACTAAGCATGCTTGTAGCGACAGTGGAGAGGAAAAACTCCCTTTTAACAGGAAGAAACCTCCAGCAGAACCAGGCTCAGTGTGAGCGGCCATCTGCCGAGGCCGACTGGGGTTCAAGGAGACAGAAGCAGAGACACAAAAAGCAGCTGTAAAAGGCGGCACTTTCCAGGAAACACACAGCCAGGCAGACGAGCTCCGAGCCAGCTCCCATGCCAGAGGACGAAGAGAGCATGTCACAGTCACAGTTAGCGAAACAGGACTACACTGGAAAACAGGCCGATCTCCAATATCTATAGACAAAGGTGTTGATGGCAGCAGCACAGCTGATATTTCTCTAAATACATGATGTAAATGGGAAAAGATAGCCAGTGAGTTTATGGAAAGGATATCTCTGACTGTCTTTGAACTCTGTGAGCTGTTTGAGCTGAGTGGTGCTGGACTGGATCAGCTCATCCAGGGATTTCTCCACTTTCTCCAGGTCCCCCAATTCTCTCCGGAGAGCAAAGGCCTTTTCTCCCCCAGCAGCACCGCCTTCAAAAACATTTCCCATCCTAAAAACACACGCACAGAAAAGCAGAAACTCAATGTTGAAAAAAAACATTCTGAAAAACTTTAAAAACTAAGATTAGACTGAAAACAATTAAGTCTGGAAACACAGTAGAACACACTCTTTGTTTTCAACAAACTGTTTATTTCTTCTCTGCAGCCTGCCAAAGGGAACGTATCCAAGGGCTATAGCCAATCAAAAAAACCAAATAAATCTTTACATCTAATGCTTTGAAAATAACAACATTGCAAATGGCAATGCAACACACGTGCATCAATTAAACTCCAATTCAATGAAAATAACTTTACAAAGCAAAAAGGTCTTTGATTAATGAGGTCTCTTGCTGTTCTGACCCAAACTTAATACACTATTTTTCTTGGTTAATCTCCATTTCAGTTGTTTCACAATGGGAAAGCGAGGAACCTCCACTTGTGCAAGCATTAGTGGTGAAACATCACTTCAATATCCTGTTTAACCCATCTAATATCTTTCTGATGTTAACCGCATGTACACACAGTACTGCAGTATTCAGTATAACATCAGCAGCCTGCAAATATGTAAATTTCACTGAATTCTTTATGTATTTTATTTGGAATCTATGTAATAAACATTTAAAACTGATAAATATAATGAAAATTAAGAGCATGTCACATTTTTGTTCAATCTATGTGGTCATATTTAACACTCCTTTAACTGATATCTGACTAGTTTACTATTATTCATTATTATTCTTATTATGCATAAAAAGCCTCAGTTGGTAAGTATGATAGACATGTATACTTTTCTATTAATTATAGATTTCTACTACTCATATTATGATATAAGGGTCTAATACAGGGCTGCAACTAATGATTATTTTTGGAAATTATTAATCTGTCAATTATTTCTTTCATTAATTGGTTAATAATCGGATAGGAATCCTTAAAGAAGAATTTTTATGAAATTAAACCAGGTGAAACTGAAACTGTTCCACTAGAGGCGTTCTGGATTGAGCATATTGACGGAAAACTTTTTCTTTTTTTATCTTGAATGCAAAAATGTTTACATATTATATATAACTTTGGTATAATTGCTGCTCTAAGTGGGTTGCCCTATCAGCTAAAGACACGTTTTAGAGTCTCTAAAGTCCAATTAACAATTAATCGATTACTAAATTAGATGACGATTATTTCAACAATCGTGATTAATTGTTTCAGCCATATTCTAATATTTTATTATCTATTCTCAAATGTCCCAATAATTGCAGCAGAGAATATTCCTTTTGTAAAAAAATGAATAAAACACAGGGGTTGACGTAAGGATTTTTACCACTTGCCCTTTGGGCAAGTGACTTTCACATTTCAATTGCCCAGAAACAATTTTTACTTGCCCAGTATAATGTTTGATAAATATAGTTCCTAATATTCATTTTTGTATATATATCAATCAAACATGTTTGTTTTTTAAATGTTTTTTGTAATTCAGTATTTTTTAAGTTTACAGGTTCCTGGTGTGTATATGCATGCATCAGATAATGAACTCAAGCCTACATTACCGTGTTAACATGCTTTTTAATCCTTCCTACACATTCTTTTCAAACTAAACTTTGCTTTAAACTGTTGTTTGCTTGGAAAAATATAAATTGTAATGTTAAAAATCTAAAAAAAACTTGACCGGTTAAAAACTTACACTACTACTACTCACTAATTTAACATGTTTAGCTCTATAACATTTAAATGCACCACTCCAATGTCTAAGAGAAAACAATTTTATGAACATTTTTTTTTGGGCATTCAGTTATTATAATTATTATTTTCCTAATCTCTGACTGATCATTTTTAATGTAGCGTGTATTATAGTATAGATTAAATTCATCATCCAGCTGCTGCTCTGCAGAATTCTCTCCCCAAGAGGTGAATCACGCCATCTAGCTGAAAATCAAGAGGCTTTTTCAAATCACGCGAGAATGTGTACAAAACAACAAAGATGGCGCCGGCAACGCTTGTGGGTCGTTTTCAGCGAATGTCGGTGATTTTAAAGTAATTTTGAGTGATAAATATTTTTTTTTTGCGATCATTGCACTTGCCCGGCGGGCAAATGCAATGAAATTTGTACTCTCCCGACAATAACAACTACTTGCCCCGGGAGATCGGGCGATGGTTAACATCGAGCCCTGAAACATCTTCACTGATGCCACAAAGTTAAATCACCAACAGCTTAAAGGATAATGGGTTCCTTATATACATACAACAACACAGTCACTCTTCTCAGGAACCGGATTTGATCAAATGGGGGGGGGGTGTCTGGAGCTTGCATGGCTTAAAAACCACAGCAGCACTTATGGTAGAAACTTGATAATCTATGAGATCACACCCAGTGAGGTAAGATATTGCTTTTCTGATGACATGTGAGAAGTGGGCACGCGGGAGTTTTAAAAGAAGTGTACCCTCTAATGTCTTTATGATTTAATGCTCTTTGTTTGTGCTGCGAACACATTGTTAACTGACAAGAGCTAACGCAGCCTGCAAGCTGAATTCTCTCGGTATTTGTGAGTTTAAACCTGAGAATCCATCTTATATGGCTCTGGTTCCAACGGCTAGAGACAAAACAAACATGGTGGTGCAGGAGGATGCTAGCCTGGCCAGACAGGCTGACTTATACATGGAGTAAGTAGGTCTGATCTGTTTTAGACCAGAGAATACCAGACTGACTTATATATAAGTCAGATTGCAGCTTCAGCTGAGCGATTTCTTTAATGACGCTTTTTATTATTTGCTGAAAGCTGTAAATATCATTAAAACTTTAACACCTGGCTGCTGTACGAGCAGTTCTTTTTTTTTAAATATGTTTTTGCATCACATCTATAGTTATCTGGTTGGTTCTAAGCTGTTTCTGCTGACCTTGTTAGTCCAGCTTTTGAAATCCCTCACAGAAGCACGATCTGCACCATTAGCTCATTAGCTCATGTGCAACCTGATATACATCCAGGTTTTCATAAATAATGTAATTATGTTAATAAAATAACTTATTCCTATCCTTAACTCACCCAATAATACACATCTTTAAAAAAAAATGTTTTATGAGTTTTTCTGAGACAATTTCAATGCTTTTAACATTTTCTGACGTCATCATGGGACATCCTCAGAGCAGTCCGACGAAATATGATTTAACCATGTTTATTTGAATTTTAGTTGTTTCTTTCTTTAGGTCATGTACAATATACCAAATGTTAACTGAAAGGAAAACATAAAACTCAAAAAGGCTTTATGTTTAAATTCAAAGCCAAAAAAGTTAGCTACTGAAAGTAGCGTAGGATCCCATTTCCTGTGCAGATCGTGCACAGACGAATGATAAAACAGTAAGGCATTTATTTTCTCAGGAAATATATTATTAACCTTTAACACATTATATTTTAGTACTCTTACTATTTTTTGCGAGCGAAAAAACGTGATTGAGGTCTTTTTCACAAAATAAAATCAAGGGCGACGCGGATGAATATATCTGTTTGCGTTTAGACAAATGAGCCAACGGTACGGATCGTGTTTCCGGGACGGATCGAGTGGTGACAGGGCTGCTATTTAATAAAATAAAACTTTAGGTGTCGCTTTGCCCAGTCAGCTTCTACTGAACATCCTTCCATTCCAAAGACAGAGTGAAGAGAAGCAGTACAAGATTAATAATGTGAAAAACCAGACAGTTACTGACTTTCCAGGTTAGTAAAGAGCCTCAGTGCTGATTTCTCTACCCTTCCTGTGCTTGGCTTCCAATAAAAAATTTATTTAGTTCCATCTGAAAGTCATGCATTTAAGAGGACGTCGTTATTACTGTGGATTATTTCTGAGGTTCAGAACTGGGAGGACTTCCGTAAAAATTCAAAAAAATATCCACTGGACTTGGTTTCCAAGATTTGAAGACGTTTCGCCACCTCTCCAGGAAGCTTTCTCAATTCAAATGTCTGGATCTGCAGTGAGTTTGAGTCTTATATGGACAAAGCCTTGTATCCCTTGGAAACATGCAAATGGTAACCGATGAATGGGTCGTTTGGTTCCATCGTTAGCCTGTAATATCTGAAACCTGTCTATGATTGTTAAGAGTCGGTCGTTTCAGCTATTACAGGAGATAATCCCCCCCTTTAACGACCGACCCCCAGAATCATAGACAGATAGTAATTAGATGCAATTTGAAGAGAGTTGGTTGTTCTAGATGTGATTTCTGTTTCAGAGCAAAGATCAAGAAGAACAGAGAAATTTGTTGTTTTATTAGAGGTGTTAAAAGTGTTAAAAACTGCTCAAGAGCAGAACACCAAGGAGGCCCATGTGGAACTGTAGCATATAGGTGCAAGTTGTTGGAAAAAACATCTGAAAAAAGCTCTGACCAGAGGATGTTTAGAAGGACCCAGCAAAAATATTTTTATGCAATCCTAGGAAACGGAAAACTTTATTATGGAGTATGCAGAGGCCTTCAATGGAACTTTATGGTTTATCCATCTAAAAACAATATTATCATCTTCCCGTCTCCCTCTTGTTCAATCCTTTATGATGCAATTTGTGGTTGTGAACAAACAACATGTGGAAAGTGGAACACTTTTCCATGAAACATAAGAAGTTAACAATTTTAGCTAATCCTGAGAGTTAGTCCTGAGAAAGGAATAACTGTTTCACCCTGTATTCAAACTTACAGCCACTGGATGTTGTTCTTCGACTTCTTTCGGATGAGCTGGACCCCTTCTAGGACATTGGTGATGTCATAGATCCGCCTCTTCTGGACCTCCAGGACTTCAGTGGCCCAGTTGAGATCCAGAACTCCATCAGGAGACTCTGCGATCAGACCCACAAACTTCTTGGTCAGCAGGCCCAACGATGTGTCGTACCGCGTCCGCTCCCCTGGAGACTTTGGAGCTTAAAGGGAACATATAAAAACATCTGCGGTTAGGAGACCAAAAACTGAGCATTTTCACTTCTTCTAACAGACTTATGTCCATCTGTGGATCATTAGTTTAAGTATGATTTAACTGATTGCTGATTAGGCCACTGCAGCGCTAGTGCTAATGTAATATTGATCATTTTTTATGCTTTAGGTTGATTTCACAGGTTTGCTTTCCCAGAAAGTTTGGAAACATGCTTAATGGTTTCTCTCTCACTTGTTCAACAAAAATTAATTTCAAGAAGAAGTGATTTAAATCCACATATTATTATGAAAACCTTTGGCTCCCTTTCTGGAACTTTTCCCAACTTCAACCAACGTCTCTGATTTTTCTCCACAGAACAATCCTCTACTGAACCAAATCCTACTTCCTCCCGCCTGACCTGAACTCCACCAGACCTCCTTCTATCCAATGCAATAGATAAATAAATGCACTGCCTAATAAAGGTAACCTGATCCCCATGTAGATGACTCACTTCGTGGGCTTTGAAGTCCTGTTACGAAGCTGCTTTTGCCTTTAGGTGTCCTGAACTCCGGCAGGTAGAGAGGGTCCTCCAGGTCCAGCTTCCTTTTTGCCTGAAAAGATTTTGTTTTGTGCAGATCAGAAAAATAAAACTTAAACAACAAAATCAAAACAGAATTAATTTTCTAGCTTTTGCTGGAAGGTTGAACTGTGAAGAAAAATGTCTAGGGCCCTAATTGTCTAATCCCTCTGATTGGTTTATTCAATGCAATGTGTAGAGCGAGCCTTGACTGTGAAATGAATGCAAAGAAAAGAGACAATAGAGGGTTTTGTTAGAGCCATAAATGTGCCAGCACTTTTCAAAAGCACCAACAAAATGCTCCACTCACACTTTTCCAAGCATGAAGTAGGGCTCATTGTGAGTGTAGGTCAGAGGAGTTTTGGTGAGGGGGTGACTGCTTCTTGACCCAACACCGTCTAAGTGCCATGGAGTCTCAGGAATCCCTCAATGACCTCTTCAAGAGGTTTAGGACTCCTGTCCCTCAACCTCTGACTTTACATAAATTCTGCATGAGTCCAGAATCTACAAACATGGCAAAGCCTCTAGTTTTAATCAAATTCATGTATATCTGTGGCTTTTCCTGCCAGTAGCTAACCAGAACCATGCTTTGACGTCTGATCTGTTGGTTCCAATTACATCCTGTTCAGATTTCGTTTATTCTAGGAATATAAAACATATATTTTTTAATAAAATAAATCCAACTATGCATCATTTTGGTTTGACTAACTAACTTTTACACCAATTCAAACCTCCCTAGTCCCCTTTGGCCGTGAATGCTGGATTAAGTCAAAGCTGAAATATAGTTTGTTTATTGCTAATTTAGCCTTACCTTCACCTAAATATATTTTTAATTATAATCCATTTTTATTACAATTTAGGGGGGGAAACACACTATAAGTTATGCTCCTCTTCTTTGACTTAAATCAAAGTTTTAGTAAACATATAACCATAAAATCAGTCTAGCTTTCAGTTATAGACCAGTTAAAAACATATAGGCATAGCAGATATCAGCCAAAATTCCAATATCATGCATCACTGTTGCAGATGCATCAACAAACACATTTTTGTGCAATATTTCAATCAGAGAATACTCCTCAGATGCAAGAGGAGAAAGTAAAGAAATTTCAAAATGTTAAGTCTTTTCAGATAGTATTCAGTTATGCTTCTTAGTGTTTGTTTATTAATGGGGATGAATGATATATCTGTATTACTATATTTTTCATTCTTTAGCACATTGGTATCGTCTAAAAATAAAAAAAATGAGCCAATATCAACAACCAGTGTTTATTTTCACTGGTTACTGTTTCTGTTTAAGGAGAGGGAAGGAAAGGGATCGAATATGAGATATTTTTTAGGCCATGTGACTCTGATTGTGATGCCGTTCAGGTTGATGGGTATTTAATTGAAGCAACGAAGAGATGTAAACACTGTGATCACTTTTTCTTGGTGTCCAAAGGGTAAAGAAACATGATATATAGAATATACTGGCAAATATTGTTTATTGGCCTAGATGGCAACATTATTATTGGATATCTATATCTGTGGTAGATCCTAACTTATTTTGTTCCAGATCTCTGAAAGACAGACTGCTATACCTATTCTTTGTGATCTTAACATTAAACTAAACTGCTTTTATAGGTTTTTACTGTTGAAAAGTACCACACACGTCAAACGGGAAAGTTTAAAGACTGGAGGTACTTTGTTGGACACCTCTGTTGTGCAAATCAGCAACCCCATTAAAACCCACCCAAGAAAAAAAGAAGACCAATAAACTTTTAACAGTGGACAGGGAAGTTTGTCAATCAGTAATCACTGACCCAGTCACACTGTTCAGTGTTACAGAAAACACCAGGAACAGAAGCTGTGAGGTGTCAGATCTCAGGCCGTGGGTTAATCTCTTCCATCTGGTTTGGACCTCACCTAACCGTTTACTCGCCCACCTCTTTTTTTCACGTCTTCTTAAAAAACACTAAACAAAGACTTCTTTATTGCCACAGAACACCAGGCGACTGAGCTCATTTAGGTAATGCATTAAAATCGGAGCACTGAGTTTGTAAAGCATAACAGAATGTTCAAATCCTCAGCCTCGTGCGGCTGTCGTCATGTGAGAGATGAGTCAAGAGAAAGCCGTCGTTGTCTGAATGCGCTCCACGATGTGTCCACCTGTCGCCTGGCGACATCTGGAGCGGCACAGACAGCATAAGCGCTGGCAAAGACTGAATTTAGATCCCTAAATCCCACAACCAGCCAGAGTAACTCGACAGGACAGCAGCAGCAAAACGTCCCAGCATCTTTCTCTTTATTTCATTATTCACAATTTCCTCTGTGCACCAGTTTTTCAAAAAGTGCAACAGTTGTAGTCAGAAACAGACCTGCTGACGGGTTGCAGGAAAGGGATCAACGGTTTCACTTTGCAGCTGTGTGTGTGTTTGTGTTCAGGGTGGGGGAAATAGACCCTCCCGCTTTGCATGAGGGATTTTTCTGATGACTCGACATGGTTTGCATTTCATGTGCTGAAGATGCGTCAGATAAGTAGTTAATGCACCTAGAAGAAAGTACTTTTATTGAAACTGTTGTAGTCCAAATACCTAAATAATGTGTGGGCTATTGTTCTTATTCTGAGATTTTTATTTCTGCGTTTTATTGTCATTACACTGTCAGAAGTACAGAGCGATGAAATGAACTACCTGCATTTAACCCATCCCTTTGGGAAGCAGTGGGCTGCCATTGTTTGCAGCGCCCGAGGAGCAGTTGGGGGTTAAGCATCCCAAGGTGGCCGTCTGTGGGAGTGGGGCAATGTGAAATGCCCTATCTGTCATGCTTTTGGTTATATTGTGCTTTACTTTGCTCTATGTTCCCTAGTTTTATTGGTTTAATTCCTTTTTTGTTGTAATTTCTAGATTTGTTAAGTTCTCATGTTTTTCTGTTGTCCTCTGTAGCCCTCTTGTGTGTATGTTCCTTTCCCCCTGGCTCCCTCGTTGTCTCCTCACACCTGCTCCTTGTCAGCTCGTTAGCCCTCCCTTTGTCTCTGTCAGCTATATATGCTCTCCCTCTGCTCTCACTCTTTGTTGGTTCCTTGTTGTTGCTGGTCCTTTCATCGCTGTAATCATCTCCCCTCGTCTCTCCCTGGCTCC